GTTGGTTCAACCTGTCCTAGAAATAGTAACCGGGTTCTAGAGGATCTCAATATCATTGACCACCCTCGATCGGTCATAATTCCAGTTTAGCAACCTTTTCTTGCGGTCGGAATCATTGTGAGAGTTTGGTCTCAATGAGTGTAGCATACTGCTACTATTCTATGGTCAAGTTGGTCAATTTAAAGGTTCTAAGGTCAGTTGGTGCTTAATGACCCCTTAGCAGACCCATATTATCCTCGTTGCGCCACAAGGAATATCGGTACATACTAAAGTGTCACACCAACATAGCTACTGCTTCAACCGTATCGGTCTACGTCGTACAGTTCCCTCATAGTTTATTGCTACTTACCTAAAGGGTATCCCCCAGATTCGGGTTAGGATCTATAGTAACTCCGATACAAGCCCACAAATATAAAGCATATAAGTCAAGCAATTGAAAACATTATGAACTATTCCTAAGGTACACCCCACTTATTAAGCGTCCCCAACAGAGTCGCCAGTTCTGTGATACGGTGGGAAAGAACTGATTGTTTTTTGGAATGCTGGTTTGCGTTTTGCGTTTGTTTTCGCAAAATGTCGTGGTAAGCAAGAGTCGCCACCGACTTTTATTTTATCCAATAAGGAAAGGAAAAAAGCACAGAAAAATTCTTTTTTCGAGATATTTCTCAGGTTCGGGGGGTAGATTATAGAAAGGGAAGGTGTTAGCACCCTTTCTATCTGTGGTTATCCACGGGCTCTTAGGTACTTGCTCATATTATTTTCAAAATTGCTTTTCTTTGTGTTTGTGGGTTTGAAGAAGTTTTTGTTTTGAAAGGTGTAAGTGTGGAAAAGATTTTGTTTTTTGAAAGAGCAAGTACTTAAGAACCATCTACCTACTCGAAAAAGGAATCGTTCTATGCTATCTTCCTTTAGGCAATGTTATCCCACTATTGATGAGTAGGTAGCATCGTCGTTGGAGTTTTAGGGTCAATTCGATTAAGGGACGTGCGGTCACTAAAGCAATGTTAGGACGCCTTAGCGGTAACCCTAATGTCTTAGATCATTTTATCCGAGGCAACCGTTTCGAGGCAACTATGATCTTTGGACAAGAGGGCGACCTCTAAAACTTCCTATACTCAATGACCGCGTACAAAGGCGACCAAGTGGGGTGTACCCTAAGAGTGCGCATGTGCGAGTGTGTTATTTTCAGTTATTTTGTCTTTGTACATGTCAATGGTTATCTAAGTTGATTTTAGGTTAAACATCCATTCTTGTCATGCATTCCTATTATCAAACATCTAACAGTTATGTTTTGCAGAAAATAAATTGCGAAAATTAAATTACAAGGCGTTGGGTATTTACATCGTCAAAAGCAACCCTTTGAAATTTAAATGCGGAAAATAAATAAAGCGATAAAATAATTAAATGGTCCTAATTATCTATTACATTCCGGGAACAAATACAATATTGGATAAAAGAAAGTAAATCGCGTGCGGAAATTAAATCGGGTGCAAGTTTAGGGTTTTGACCCTTTTTTGAAAGAAAGTATCTTTTTTTGTTATTTTTGAATTAAGAAAGAAACTATCCTAAATTAATTATTAAATTAAATTAATTAAACTAATTAATAAAATAAATATTTGTTGGGTTTTTGATATTTAAAGAAAGAAAATAAAATTAATCAATGTTAATAAAAACTTAATTATGTCTAAGTTAATTTTAATTATTTTACAAAAATGTGAAAGTTATTCTAATTAAAATTCTAAATCAATTAATTAATGTTTATTAACAAAAATAAAAGTTAGAATTTAATTTGATAAAGAAAATGTTTTGTTGTTTTTTTTTTAAGAAAAGAAATTAAGTCCTAAAAATTAAATGCTAAATTAATTATTAAATAAATTAATTAATGAAAAATATTAAATGACATATTTTTGGAGTTTTTTTAATTTAGGAAAGAAAATAAAATGATTAAATTAGTGTTAAAAACCTATTGATTTCTAATTAATTTTAAATATTTGTAAAAATCATTTAAAGTTATCTAACATTAATATCCTAATTAAATTAATTAATATTTATTAATAAAAAATAAAATTCTGAAATTTAATTGGACATAAAATATTTTTGTGATTTTTTTTTATGAAAAGAAGATTAATTATTTGGTTAGTAAAATAAATAAGAAATAAATAAATTGAAAAAAATAAAAAATAAAGAGTGAGAAATGGGCCTGAAACAACACTTTTGGGAGGTGTAAAGAGCATTCTTGAGCCCAGATCTTCGAAAGCTTTATGCTCTAACTATGGTGTTTTTTGATTCTTGTGCGATACCTATGATTCAACCATCCATAACTGTTATATATAAACTCAAACAAACGTTAGCATACCATAAAATGTGATTAAAATTAGAGATTCGAAATTTAAAATTTTACCAAACCGGTGGGCGTGCTAGGCGTGTGATGGATTGCTCTTGGGGCTTGTAAGACTCATGAGGAATTCAAGAGGATGGTTTGAGGCTTGATGTCAATTGCGAGAGGCCGGAACCTCGAGATATGACTTGCACCAATTCTTTGATTTTTGGAGAGCTTTTTGAAGAGCTTTTAGAGAACTTTTTGAAGAGCTTTTTAGAGAGGATTTTCGTCCCTTTCAAGCTTGTATGGCTCTATATTTATAGAGGAGAATGAGGAGACAAGAAAGCATGGAAAGAATCTCCCTCATAATGTTGTGTTTTAAGACCATGATCAAGATTTGAAAAAAAATGCCATATTTGATGATTCTCCAATATTAAACCTTCCAAATTTGATTTGATTCAATCTTTTTGCACATGATTAGGCTTGATACGAATTTGATGGTGGTGCTAGCTGTAATAAAAAAATCAAGAGTTATTAATTATTAGTTATTAATCATGATTAGGCTTTATTCAACAATGCATAACTTCTTCAATTTTAAACTTTTGGAGGTGTTTTTGGACTTTTTAGAAATATTGAGATGTACTCTAACCAAACCTTTTAGTCTCATCTCATTTTGATATTCCATGCTCAAGTTATAAGCTTTGGAAAAAAAGGTGTTTTTGTTGACTTTCAAAAATGACCTATAATGTCCAAATTTATAACTTCTTGTGAGTGCATTTTATGATCTTGGGGTATGAAGATGGATTGTAGTAAATTGCATCCTATTCAAAATGAGCTTTGGATGGATCATTTCTAATAAAGTATGAGAAAGTTATGCTTGGTCAAAGTTGAGTTGACTTTTCCTACAAAACCCAAATTTAGCATCTTTTGAGTCTTGACGAATTTTGAGCAATCCTTGATGAATCATGATCAACCCTTGATCAAATGATGAAATATACTTCGAAATGAGAATGTTGACAAAAAATCTTGAAGTTTGACTGTATTTGAGTCACAGTTGACTTTTGCCCTAGCACATTCGATTTTTGGATCCTTTGAGCAATTGACTGAGCAAACTTCCTCTGCAAGGCTTGAAATTTGACATGGATGACCTTGAGAAGATATTAGGACATTAGGGAGCATTTGAGGTCATTTGGACTCAAAGATCTTGATGCAACACAAAACCCTAATTTGGAGTTGACTGCCTTAGGAGATGACTTGTCTAACCCACTCTTGAGCGAACTTGAGCAACTTGGAGATTTTTCTTGCCATGTTTTGAGAAATATGAGAGGGAAAATTTTGGGGTACAACACTACAGATTCAAGGTTGGAATGTGAAACGATAGAATGGGAAAGGAAATGAACGGTTATTTTCTGGGTGAAGAGGAAATGAAGCCGACGTTTTATCTTCCCAATGACCCAAGCAATCCAAATTCCACGTGTCTCATAACAATCAACGTTTAATAATTCATTTAAAAATATAATAGAAATTTATTAATTAAAACTTTCCTCTTTTAGCAACATATCAATATATTAGAAGGGTTGAGAGTTTGCCAAGTGTCCAACTTGCCCAAATACTCATCTTGTATTATTATATTGTATAGATTTTAAAATTCTAAATCCAAACCTAAAAAATATGAGATCTTTATTTTTTGGAGGCCCTAGATTGTGGGCTTGCTTGCCTTGGCCTAGGGTCGACCCTGGGGAGGAACAAGGAAATGCATGATGAAGATTTTGTTCATTCGGCAAATCCTATTCGACATGTTCTTAAAATAAAAATAGATTATGATTATACGGTGAGAGTGAATAAGTTATTGTTGGATCACGAGCGTGTGATGTCTTTAATAGACTGGGTTCCTCTGAAAACGAATTATGTGAATTTGAATACGGATGATGCTTGCAAAGAGAAAAATATAGCCAATTATGGTGGAGTGCTTCGTGGTAGCCATGGAGAATGGATGGATGAGTTTGCAAAGTGTGTAGGTGAGCATAGCGCTTTTGTGGCTAAGGTGTGGGTTTTTTTTTAAAGGTTTGAAGTATGTTTGGTGGATGGATTTTCGAGCGATTTAGTTAAACATTTATTCAATGGCTATTGTTAGTGTTGTTAAGATCGGTAGAATTCTAGTCTGATGGGACTCTCTTTAGTGAAGAGTGTCATGTATATGTTGGAGAAGAACTGATGATGGAGATCACACATTCTTACAGTGAGGCTAATCGGTGTGCAAACGTATTAGCAAACAAACATTGACTATAATTTAAATTATATGTTGACTCGGTATGAGTCTTGTCGTTTACTAATTAAGGATTTATTAATTTTTGATGCAATGTGTATCGTTGTCTCAAGAATGACTATTGTGTACAAATTTCAGTCCGGGTCAGACCAAATACCTGATAAACACCAAAAAGTATCGGTTCAATTTCGGTCCAAAAAAAAGTCCATCACTATTTCGGTTCAATCTCTACCCAATTACTATTTTGCTCGAGTTCTCAGAAGAATAAATACTCAGACCAGACCAGACCAGACCGAAAACAACCATACACCAAAGTAAAAGCAAATGAATTACTAATAATTTAAAATCGAATGATTTTGGCTTACGTTTTAAATATTGATAAGATTTTTTTTGTTTTACTCCACCAGTAGAAACATGATCAGAAACATTGTTTGTGCTCGCAAAATGACAGTAATGACAGGCATGTTTGCTCCTACTTTCTTCTGCTACAAACCCTTCTCTTCTCCATTATCATCCTTCACAACCTCTCACCCTTTTTCTTCATCTTCCATCAACCACACCTTCCCCTCCTTTTCTCTTTCAGCCACTGGTACCACGTGCTCACTCACGTGGGACGATGTTTTTCGCATATCCAAATCTGAAACTGCCATAGAAGAAGACCCTTCGTCTTATCTCCAAGGTTTCTTCCACAAAGTCCAACTCTGCAATCGTGCTTCTGTGAGTTCTTAGAAAACAAGGAATTAAACAAAGCAAAGTTGTTACCTTTACTGTATTACATTGTGCCTTTTTTTCATTTGACTGAGAATTGTGAGTAATAATCAATTTTAACCACCCAATTGTGCATTTTTGCATCACCCCACTTTTTTTTTCCTGATAAAGTTTTAATCTTTGTAATTAGTATCATAATTTATGAAAATTGGGTTTAGCTAATTTTGAAGTGATCATCAGTGTTTTCTGTTTATTGCATAGCAGAATTTGTGTAGGATCCACTTTTTGTGTTATTGAGTTTGGAATTGATTGTAGGACAAACAATCTGAATTTGTTCCGTTTATCGTTGAGGGCCGCGATGTTGGATTCATTCACAACAGGTAAATTTGACTCCATTTCTTTATTCTTCATGTTTGATGTTTGTGTGATCTTATGTTTGGTTATTCATGAATGTTTCTTCGGTTAAACTTTGAATTTGTTAAGGTTTGTTGAACATTTGCGAGGCTTCAACGATGTGTTTGTTTTTCCCAATGACGGAGGCCCTTTAGGTTATTATGTTACATTGCATCCATTACTGAAGACGGCTGAAGAAAGAACCAGTGCGGTTGGTTATGTAGTCAAGCAATTGGGAGAGGAGCACATTCCAGGTATACGGAATGAGGTATTAGTCTTTTATAGGTTTAGAATATGTTAGCTTTCGTCATTCTTTGTTATTGGGTGCTTTTCTAATACTTAACTACCCGACCTACATTTGTTGTCTATCTTTTACCAGCTATACCCTGTGAAATCCTCGTTTAGCACGCCTGCTTTCTTTTCGTTAGAACGCGCTGCCGCTCCTTATTTTGGCATAAAGGTACAAAAGTCAAGTTCTAATTTGTTGTCAAATTAAAAAATGATAATCTAACTTGCATATATTTTGTGGAATTGAATGTCCAAAGAAATAGCTTAGTAGCCACATTAGCAGCGCTTGGGATGATTTTAGGCGCGGCGTATGTTGCCTGTCTGCAATCTTACCGTTGGATTTCTTTTGAAGACGATCACACTATTTGTTTTATGAAAGACTTTATAATTGATAGTCCAGATTGCATCCTAAAGCTCTTCTTGGTTACACTTTTTTTCCTTCTTATTTTACAATATTAGGCTTATGGAGTCCATATGAATGGCTATGTTGAGCTGGATGGGCAGAAACACCTATGGATAGGGAAGAGAAGTCCGACAAAATCCACATATCCTGGAATGCTTGATCATCTAGTTGCAGGAGGATTGGTTTGTAGTTTTGTTTTACCTGTTTGCATGATAAGCTAACTAATATTTCAAACTCAAGCCTTAACATGCTAAAAATTTCTTCCGAAGACTTTGTGGATTGGAGCAGTTCACTATGTTGTGTTTGGATGAACAACTTAATTAAACGTTCATAGCATACACGTTTATCATATTAGTGTTTATGTATGAACTATTTCTATAGTAAAAGGTAATTGAAGTCAAACTATTTTCATAGAAGCTGTTTTCATAAAACAATCATGAAGTGCACATGAAAATAAGCTGAAAACCACTTATGAACAAGTGTTGATGTCAGTAGTAGATGAGTTCAAATAAGTCAAACAAAATAGACCTGTGTGTTTCCTTACATTAATATGAACTATCATCTTGAGTTTCTGAGTTAATTGCTACTTTCACAGCCGCATGGAATTGGTTGTCTGGAAAATGTTGTAAAGGAATGTGAAGAGGAAGCCGGAATTCCGAGGTCCATCTCAATTAAGTAAGTTTACAACCACAACACCTTCATCCTTCTCCCCCTTTACCGCACAAATTTCAATTTTTCTTCTGGAACGGTTAGCCAACCTATGCAACATCGACACTTCAAATTAAAAGCATGTACGATGTTCGACTCGACACTGATATATATTATTATATTCAAGTACTTTTGTTACCGGTGCAACATGTTGGTGTCTGTGTTTGTGTCAAATGTCAATACTTCATAGGATCTAACCAAACTTCTTTTTGTGTCTATGCTCAACAAACTTATTTGGTTCATTCAATATTCCATTATTTTCCAACCATTTTCTGAAATGAAAAATCCAGTTAAATGTTCCTTCATTGTTGTTCTTGCAGAGCTAAATCAGTTAGTGTCGTTTCATACAAGGACATCGAAGGATATAGATACAAGAGAGATGTTCTATTCTGCTATGATTTGACACTTCCCGAAAATTTTGTACCAAACAACATAGGTATGCCTTTTAAACTCATTCTCCAATTTTACTCTCCTTGATCACACTTCGTAATAAGTGGCTGAATAAAATATCAGATGGAGAAGTTGAAAGCTTCAAGTTAATCCCTGTTGAGCAAGTTGCAGAAGTCATCCGCAGGACACAGTTTTTCAAACCAAATTGCGCTATCGTGATCATTGACTTCCTCTTTAGACACGGGTATTTCTTTCTCTTGCATTTTTTTTGTTATTCTCGGGTTGCAAAGTGAAACCTTAATGATTATATGTTGTGAAATTGCAGATACATAAGTCTTGAAAATGATGGATATTTGGATCTCTTAAAAAGCTTAAGAATAGGAGATTGGTCATGAAACAAAGAGCATTATACTATTCATTGAACCAAGCTTTCATATGTTGAGTAACTTGGTTGTTATTCTTTCTTTATATGCATGCAACTATTCTTGCTTTTGGTTTGGTTTCATGACTGTGGAAAATAAAAGAGAATTTGTGTTTGATTTATTGGAAAAAATCATCCTTGACCATTTCATTTTGAAATGTATGTGAAAGGAAAAAGTGTTTGGTCCTCTCAACTGGACTTTGAAGGCTCCAACTGAGATAGTTGTGTTGGATAGGTGGAAAAACAAGAAAACACACATTATATCTTTGGTTAACAAATTGCGCTTCTTCTTCGCGATTGCTAAAGCCACATGGGATTACTTGAAGATTGTTTACCATGAGAATAATGCAGCAGAATACTTTCAGTTTGATTAAGATATTGCAAATTATCGACAAGGTCCTGTATCCCTTTAAGATTACTATTTCGGTCTTTTTTATTTTTTATTTGTGGATGAAGACTCCGAAATCTTTCATGATGATTTTCTTTGAAATTATGTTATAAGGGACACATACAAACAAAATTGTCTTAACAGCAGATAATGTCGAGACATATGTTACAACATCTGGAAACAAATCAGATCAATCAAGTTGAATATGATACAGAAAATAAAATTGCGAATGATAAATAACACAATGAGTTGTTAACTCAGTTCGGTGCAACATCACCTACTCTGGGGGTTACCAAGTCATGAAGGAAGTTTATTATCAACAGTATTAGTTCAAAGCTACACTCTCTCATTTACAACTTCTTGCATAATCCATACCTAATGCAACTTCTACCTAATTCTTCCCTAAATATGAGAAATCACAATCTCACTTCTTAAATCATCTCAGTGATATCTAGCAGTCTCAATCCCAATAACTGCAACAAAAATAACTCAATTTAGAATATCATACTTCCATTACAATAACTCAATACACAGCTTCTTAATGGAATCATATAATGCGACTCAATACTATGAAAATACATGTGGTACCATTGGAGCAGAACTCCCATCTAAAAATAATTGCAAATAAATAGAGGCATCAACAAGGCATAAGCCTTCATCTTAATATCGCCAATACAGACCATCTTAACGGGCATAAGCTCCATCTTGAAATGCAATGTATGCACACAATCATGAATGTAATGACAACACCATAATTAACAACATCTCAACACAACATAATCGTTGGCCAGAAGCCTACATCTTAATAGCTGCCAATTATTAGTGGCATCTCAACATCTTTCATCAACATCATTCATCAACATCATTTATCAACATAATTCATCAAACATCATTTATCATCATAACTCATCAAACATCATTTATCAACATAATTCATCAAACATCATTTATCATCATAATTCATCAAACATCATTTACCATCATAATTCATCAAACATATTTTATCTTCATAATTCATCAAACATCATTTATCATCATAATACGCAACAACTCAGCCATAACAACAATACAATGGTAGGTTGACAATCCCGCAACGTTGGCCATAAGCCTACAACATGGTATTGCCTATAGTTAATTAATCATCTAAGGCTTACCTCTAAATTACCAAACTTCTACATATTATTAATTCTGTAATACTACATCATTATCATCATTAATCTTACTATTATGAACCAAACAGTAATCTATAATCATTTCATCCTCATCATTCTTCACAAAATCATCATAGCGATTAACGCGGGAAGCTAACTCTAGTCCTAAATTGGGTTACTAGGATTATCCTTCATATTCTTCATTTTAATCCTTAAGAATGAAATTCATCGCGTTAACTATCTAACGCTTCGAACGACACCTCAAACGGAGTCCGGAAACTCAAGTTACAGCCTCTCAAAATGATTCTGTCAAAAACTAGACCACATAAATCGACGCGTAATGTCTTGAGTCGACGCTTACTGGACTTAACACGCTATGTGTATCGAGGCATACTCCCTTCGTGTCGACTCATACTGAGTCTGCAACACTGCATGTATCGACACATGCTCTTACGTATCGATTCATCCTGAGTCTAAAAGCCTGCATGTATCGTTGCATGGCTTCTTTGTATCGACTCATCCTGAGTCTAAGAGCCTTCATGCATCGACGCATGGCTTTTGGGCTCGAGACATACTGTTCTGTCATAATATTTTCTGCGATTTCACTACGTTTTCACTGCAGTTTCCATGCTTTAGGCCCTAAAAACATCCTCTAATCATAGGTAATCATCAAATATAATTACCCCATGCTTCTACATCATTTATTCAACATTAGGGCATCATTATTCATCCTTAAATCATCGATTTTCATCATACAAAAATGTATATAATTCAATCATAAACCAAACAATCTTTCACATCTAATCCCACATACCAATCATCATAAATCCCATTATAGAGTCAGAACCCCACCCTTACCTTAGATTGAAGGTTGCTCTATAACTTTTCCAATTGAATTTCGTTCTGCCTCATTTCCTCCTTTTCTGCAATTTTCACGTTCTCTTTCTCTTCTTCCAACCCTTATTTCCTTCTCTTCTTACTGCTTCTTCTTTTTTTATTATTAATTCTAAAAACTAATATAATAACCTTATACTTCTTATTATGCCTTAATGGGCTTAAAACTACCCCCCCCCCCCCTTTTTCTACTTCTATCCTCTAAAACAAACCCACATTAAATAATATTATTATTCTAATATTATTCCACAACTTAATAAAATAATTAGATCCAATAATAACAACACATCAACTATCATCATACCACAACTTCACAAATAATCCAAAAATAATTTAATTAAATAATTAATTAAATTACGGGCGTTACAACTCTCCCTCACTTAGAATATTTTCGTCCTCGAAAATTTACCTTAATCAAACAACTCAGGATAAGAGTCTCGCATCTTGCTCTCCAACTCCCAAGTCATGCTTTCTCCGTCAGCTCCTAGCCAAACCACTTTAACCAAAGCAATCTCTTTGCCCCTCAGAGTCTTATTTTCACGATCCGCGATCCGTACAGGCATCGTCTCCACCGTAAGATTATCCCGTACTTGCATATCATCCATACGAATCACATGAGATGGATCTGTAATATACTTATGGAGTTGCGACACATGAAACACATCATGCAAATTCGAAAGATTAGGCGGTAAATCCACTCTATAAGCAACATTCTCCACTCTCTCTGAAATCTGATATGGTCCAATAAAACGAGAAGTGAGCTTCTTAGACTTCAATGCTCTCCCAACACCAGTCACATGTGTAACCCTCAAAAACACATGGTCACTCGCTTGAAATTTTAAGTCTTTCCTTCACTTGTCATGATAACTCTTCTATCTACTCTGGGAAGCTTTCATCTTTTCTCGAATCAACTTCACCTTCTTAGTAGTCTCACGAACAAGTTCAGGTCTAAGTACTACACTTTCTCCAGATTCATGCCAACATAAAGGAGTTCTACATCTTCGACCATACAACGCTTCAAAAGGTGCCACCCCAATACTGGAATGGTAACTGTTATTATAAGTGAACTCTATCAACAGAAGATAAGTATCCCATGAACCTCCCTGCTCAAGAACACATGCCCTCAGCAAATCTTCCAACAATTGAATAGTTCGTTCAGTCTGACCATCTGTCTGAGGATGATACGCTGAACTCAACCTTAACTTATAACCCAACGCTTCTTGCAAACTCTTCCAAAAATCAGAAGTAAATCTTGGATCTCTATCTGACACGATGCACAAAGGAACACCATGCAACTTCACAATCACACTAGTGTAAATCTCAGCCAACTTCGACACTGGAAAACTGATGTTAATAGGAATAAAATGAGCCGACTTCGTAAGCCTATCAACAATCACCCAAATCGAATCATGTCCTCTTATAGTATTAGGTAACCCCGTCACAAAGTCCATCGAAATGCTATCCCATTTCCATTCTGGAACTTCTAACGGTTGCATCAATCCTGCTGGCTTCTGATGTTCAACTTTCAACTTTTGACAAGTCAAACATGCATACACAAACCGATCCACATCACTCTTCATCCCATGCCACCAAAACAAACCTTCCAAATCTTGATACATCTTCGTAGCTCCTGGATGAATACTCAACTTACTTCTATGACTCTCTTCAAGTATCACTTTCTTCATCTCAGCATCATCAGGAATACAAATCCGGTTATGAAATCTTAACACACCTTGCGCGTCTAACTTAAAATCATTATTCTCAGACTGATCGATCCCAACCATCGAATCTACCAATTTCACATACAGCTTCTGAGCTTCTCTGATACTGTCTAGAAATTCATTATTAATCTTCATCATACCAACATAACACTCTGCGGCGTCACCTTGCAAACTAAGCTCATATCTCTGAAATGTTCAATTAATTCCAACTCTTTAACCATCATTGTCGACATATGTAAAGTCTTTCGACTCAACGCATCGGCTACCATATTCGCTTTTCCTGGATGATAATTCAAATCTAAATCATAATCCTTTAACAATTCCAACCATCTTCGTTGCCTCATATTCAACTCTTTCTGATCGAATAAATACTTTAAGCTCTTATGGTCACTAAACACTTCAAATCTAGAACCATAAAGATAATGCCTCCAAATCTTCAACACAAAGACAACTGCAACAAGCTCTAAATCATGCGTGGGATAGTTCTTCTCATGAGTCCTCAACTGCCTTGACGCATAAGAAACTACCTTATCATTCTGAATAAGCACACCTCCTAAACCCATCTTAGAAGCATCACAGTATATCACAAAAGGCTCTCCTGGATTAGGCAATGTCAAAATCGGGGCCGACGTCAACCTCTTCTTCAATTCTATAAAACTTTCTTCGCACTGAACATCCCACACAAAATCTCTACTTTTACAAGTCAACTTAGTGAACGGAAGTGCCAACTTAGAAAAACCTTCGATAAACCTTCTATAATAACCAGCTAATCCCAAAAAGCTTCTAATCTCAGTAGCTGACTTCAAAGTTTCCCATTGCA